AGCGCCTAACAAGGTGATGAAGATGGTGTCCACCATAGCCAGGTAGGTACCTCGCCACTCTCCCCCTTGGTCCCCTTCTCCCTCCTCCTCCTACCGCCCGAGCTCCACCATAGCCAAGGTGGAAGCTCCCGGCTTCTTCCTCCCAGCAGCGCTGTAGCAGCCAGCGCTCTTCCAACCAACGCTCCAACAGCGTGATGCCCAACTCGCACACTGAAGAATGAGGCCGAGCTCTTGAGGAATGCACAACTTCCAAGCATTGAAGGAGGCTTTGGGGAGTCATCCGGTGCTCCGCATTGCAGATCCCAAACTTACATTCGTAGTTACTACGGATGCCAGTTGGTATGGGATTGGTGCAGTGTTGCAGCAAGATGATGGCGACGACTTACGTCCGCTCGAATTCTAGAGCAAACGCATGCCCAGTCACAAGGTTGCTGCCTCCACTTACATGCCAGAGCTCTATGCCTTGAGAGAGCCGCTAGATCATTGGAAGCACTATCTCTTGGGTCACCATTTCAAAGTGTTCTCAGACCACGAGACCTTGAAATGGATTCAAACACAGACCAATCCCTCAACTACACCCGTTGGCTGCATGAGCTCTTTCCATCGACTTCATGGACATGGAGAAGAAGAGTAGGAATGGATATTCGCAAGTAATGGTGATTGTTGACCGCTTTTCAAAATTTCTGAACTTGATCCCATTACCACCTCACGCCCCAACTGACCTGGTGATTAAAGAGTTCACCGTGAGGCCGAAGGGCATGACGGTAAACTTGTACAACCCATCGCGGGTTTTGAATGCAGTTTTGTGCTGGTCTGCAGGGTCGACTTCAATCTGCTAGTAGCCAGACTTGAGATCGATCTTGCTGAAGACCTTGCACCCACCTACAACATCAAGCAGATCATCAATACGTGGCGAAGGATATGCATTTTTTCTCGTTATTCTATTCAGTCCGCGGTAATCGATACACATTCGTAGTTTGCCTCCTTTCTTTGGGACAAACAGAACCGGTGCACCGAATTCGGATTTGCTTGGCTTGATCCATCCCTTCCCAATCATGTAATCAATCTGTCTTCGCAACTCTTCCAATTCGCCTGAGAGCCCATTCGATAAACACAGCCTTTTGGAGGAGTGCTACCTTCTATCAACTCGATCTTGTGTCGGACCGAACGCACCGGGACTCCATGCGGTTCGGCCAAGACTTCAGGAAATCGGTTGAGAAGGTTGCGGATTTCTGATGGGACTTTTGGAGGTGGACCATCACTTTCAGGTGCAAGCATACCGGATTGCATTGGTGTAGCCAAAACAACAGAATTTGAAGCAGAGTCGTTTGGACTAGAAGTAGATTTAGTAGAGGTAGAAGTAGTTGCCTCAGAAGTAAAAATGGCATGCAAAGTAGAATCATTATGTACAACAAAAATAGAAGGCACATGATCAGGCCTAACAAAGGCTATATACATTTGCTCATCAGCCACTTTTTGCAGAATTGCATTGCATTGAGAAAAGTTACTTGGGACTTGTGCGGCTCATCCAAGAGGACTGGACGCTCGATTCCCATAGCTTCTTTGACCATGAATTGTGAGTCCTTCCACGTGGTTCTTTCACATTGGGCACGCAATCAGCCCAAGCCAATAACCGCGTCGAAGAGGCACTGATCAAGGACATAGAAGTTCAATTCATGCGTGATTGTGCGGTTTGCGTCAAAGGTAGTGCGCACACCTTTGACTGCATGCGTAGATGTGACAACCTCTTGGTTGCCCACTTGGGTCCGACAAGGATTCTGCAAAGTCACTTGCTTCATTCCCAAGCGTGCCTTACGAATGTCATGCGGTGAGAAGTAGTTGGCGGTTGCGCCACAATCAGCCAACGCACGGATGTAACGGCCATTAATGACGAGTTTGAAGAAGATCAACTTTGTTTTCCTTTGCACGAGTTCTTGCTTCATGTGAGCCCAGCGTGACAACAGAGAATGAAAGTCAATTTCTTCCGACTCCACCCAAGGCTCCTTGTATAGGATG